AATTTTCAATGGATGTTTACAGCTGTTTCTCTTCATTTTAAGTTGTTGCCCATCAGCAAATGCAGGTTCTGTGTGCTTTTCTCCCCTGAGCTAACTCTATTCATGTCATTATGGTCAAGTCTACTTTGAGGAGGCATTTTCTCCCCCAGTCTCATTCTGAGTGCCTTCCCACCTTCCAATCCTGTATCTGACAATGTTTCTCTGCTGTTCATAGAGTTTATATGAATATGTTTACATTTATATAAACAACAATTATATGTTGTTGTTGGTATTTTTCCATGCTGTCAAGTCAGTGCTGACTCATCCCAACCCTGTATAGGCTTTCCAAGAAGTAGCTGATGAGTTTGAACCACTAACCTTTCAGTTCAAACCGACCTTGAGGCCCAATGCTTATCTTCCAGTGCCATACCAAAAAACAAGGGGGAATTGGAAAAGTTTGAAGCAAAACACAATGTTGATTTTCCTTGCAGGTCTGATGGCATTGTACTTTTTATCCAAATATAAGGCTTTTTACCTTTTTTTTTGTTCACAGTCACAGAATGCATCCCCTAAGCAAAGGAAGCAGAGCGTGTACACTCCGCCCGCCATGAAAGGTACTGTCAGGTACTGTCTTGGGTTGTTATGAGTGTGATTTCGTAGTTCATGTTTGTAGGCAATCTGATTTTCAAGGACCATACCTTTGATCATAAACTAGATCTTATGCGCTCTGTAACTCAATTGCTGTGTGTCTTTTCATAAGACATTTGTCTCTTTAAACTTTAGTTTCACCAAAAGTAAGACTGTGGTTGAAGAAAGGGAAACTAGAGGTGTCTATGAATCTCAGCTTGAAAATTCGGGGCTTCCAAAAGATGACAAATATTTTTTTTACCCTTTCTCACATATGTTTTCTTTGATGGAATTTTTCCAGAAGCCCTAACCACTCTTTTCAGTATTGGCAGATGATTGTCATTTTCTTTCTTTCTTTTTTTTTTTTTTTTTGCCTTAAACAAAACAGAGCAACTTAAATTTTGGAGAGATTTAGTACAAAGTATTGCCTCATTGCCTTGTGTCAAGAGAAGCTCTAAGAAATTCATTCAAGTGGCTATTAGCTGTACATTTAACAGCTGTTGAAATAACAACTAAGAAAACTAGTTCAGACTCTGGCGTATTCCCAGAATTTTCCTCCAAATTTGGAACTGCAAAGAGAATATCTAAGTGTATTGGTATTTTTACCATCACTAGTTCCAGAGAAGGCTTCTTTTATTTCTCACACAAAAATGTTCCTGACACAAGTCAGAGTCTGTCCAATCCAGTAGCTCATGTTCCAGACTGACACTTGAGTCATTTGCCCAGTGGTTCATCATGCAGTAGGACAACTCAGCTTCACCTACATGAGAGGCCAGCTGAGCAGCTTCCTCTGGAGTTTGGAGAGACATCTAAATTGGGAGTGAAATTTTCCACTCTGTATTCTCTCTAGATTTGGGGGCTTTTCAGAAGTGGAATATAAATGGACACATTAATATTTTAAACTTCCTTCCTGTGCAGCTATAAAATACCATGTTTGCTTGCTAATAAGACTGCAGTAAATAATAGAATCATCAGTATGATAGCTCATTCCAGTTAATTGATACTGTTAAACATTCCTCCTTGATAAATGCAATTATTTTCAAGATATTTCTCCCCATTGTAAGTGATTTTGTACTTTCAACACACATCAATTTTGGCATGAGTTGGCATGAAAGATATATATTCACTCATTTAATGATTTCCTCTGTCCTATTTTGAGTTAGCTTAACTAAATAAAGTAATAATGTTTTTATGTCCTCGGAGAATAATAGTATTATTTTTTAAAGGACAATCAAGGTCCCTAGGGCTCATAGTTTTAAATATATTTAGCCCTCAAATATTGTAAGAATGTGGGATCCTGACATTTACAGAAGTTACTCTTATTATTCATTTAAAAATATAGCTTTACTACTACCGAGCCCTTAAGATTGTCAGTCAATGATAGTCATTTTGATCACGAGTTAAATGCTTGAAAAAGCATAGTGATTCTTTCAAGAGGCTATTAGGGTGTTATTGCAAACCATTTAGGTCCTCATTTATGACTATGAAAACCTAGCTACATGAAAACCTAGAATGTAACCTACATTCTACTTACAATAAAAGAAAGCTAAAGCCACGTGTTTGACTTCTTCTACCTGCCTCTTATAGCAAAAAAATTAATATTTCTAGATAAAAAAATTAAGAAGTGAAATGTGTGTATACATTAAAAAGTCTTAATCCTAGATGAAGCAGCAAAAGAAATGTCATTTAGATGCTAGATACAACACTACAATTGTTTTGAAATGTAGAAAATTCTAAAAATTACAGTGGGACATGCAATTATTGATTGGGAAACAAAAGTAGCAACAGATGTGATGAACAATTCTGAAAAGTCATTGTGGCAAAAAGACAGCTAGGGCTTTTTGAAGGAGTCTGTAAGTAACTGATAAGTTACAAACAAAAACAAAACATATAACCTACCTAGAATCTTCCCTCCCCTTCCCCTTCCCCTTCCCTTCCCTTCCCTTCCCTTCCCTTCCCTTCCCTTATTGGGTTGTAGGAGTTACTAAGCATTGATCGCAAAGTGGAAGGAAGAGATGCTGAATCCCACTGTTTCATATTAATCCATTGGTCAAATTCTGTCATAGTTATCTAGTGCTTCTGTAACAGAAATACCACAACTGGATGGCTTTAACAAACAAATATATCCTCTCACAGTTAAAGAGGTTAGAAGTCCAAATTTAGGGTGCCATTTCTAGGGAAACTCTTTTCCCCCCTGCTGGTTCTGAAGGAAGATTCTTGTCTCCTGTCAACGTCTGCAGAGAATTGTACCTTGGACATCACATCAATCTTTCTCTGGGTCAAATAGGTTCATAGTACAGAGACTCTGGGTCCAAAGTACACACTCTACTCTGACTCCTCTTTCTTGGTAGTACTGGGGTCTCATTTATGAAACAAATAAACAAACCCCAAAGCCCTGTAGATCCCTTTGTGGAGACTGAGAGAAAGACAAACAGCTTAAATTTTTGTCAGTGCAGTGAGGTCTTTTCTCAAGGGGACCTCTTCATTCAAGGGGCTGTGGATCTATAAACTGGCTCAAGTCTGTGAATTGATTGAGGGTCCATGACTCATATTCTGGTGATTAAACTTAGATTCCTGTTCATTTGAGCAAAATCCTTCCATTTTCACAAATCAAGTAAATATTTAGTAGATGTTTCATCTATTTCACTTCTAGGGAAACCATGCCTAAGGAGCCAATACCATAAGTTCATATGAGTGAGACTATTCTGATTACTGCTTTGACTCTATTGTCCATTACACTAACCATGTTCACCTTCTATTTGTCAATTAAGTGCTGCCAGTTGGCCATTAACACTGCAGGATCCAATCAGCTTCATTGTAGTTAGGTGTCTTAATTAAATTATGGAAATTCCCATGATGAAATCTGACTTGAAATAAAGTAACAATAAAAGGGATGGTGTCCATGATGGTGGACTAGGTAGATATACTGTTCAGATGATCTATAACAAAGACCCAAGAAATTTAGTGAAATACATACAGATGACAATCTAGGAACCCAGAGTTTTAAAGGAAATGATAAAGTAGTAGATCCACTATTAATTAGAGGAAAAGACTAAATGAAAACAGCAAACAAGGAGACATACTCAGTGTTGAATTACCAGGGACATGACTATTGTGAATTATTGTACGGAGCTTTCCACTTGGGACAGGAAACTGATTCTACTCACCCTGGATTGCACCAGCTCCACATCAGTGTTCAGTAACCAGAGATGTTTGATCCCCCCCTTAACTTGCACAACATACCTGTGATAAAGGCAAGAAAGATCTAACAGTAAGTCAAACCTACCCGAACCCCTCAGTATCCCTGCAAATGCTGTGCCATTAGAGCTGCTGGTGGATTTAAACTGCTGACCTTACAGTTAGCCACTAGGGCTCATAGTTCTTCCCTTATCATCATGATTTTTTCCTCTCAGTGCCTCTCTCTTGTTTTATTCCAAAGAGTCAGCTTGTTCCCCTCCATTACCTATGAAATCAACAGCACCTGGCCCTGCCCCTCCACAGTCAGCAGTGCCATATTTCCACTAGGGTTTTGTTTGGCAGCTAGCACTTGAGCCAGTACTTGCCACTTCCTCCCCTTCTTTTTCCTTTTTCTTTCTTCTTAGGTATTCCTTCTTCTTCCTTTGTTTTTTTTCTTTTTCCTCTTTTTTTGCTTTTTCCCCTTTTGCGTTTTCTTTGTTTCCCTTTTTCCTTCCATCAGTTGGGAGCCAGCGACCTTACCCCACCATACCTGCCACACTTGCCACCCCACCCACTGGGTGAGTATGACCATCTGCTCCAGTGGCACTAAATTGATGACAGATGGTGAACAACACTTGCCCAGCCTGCCTTCAGCTGCTGTACATGACCAGATGCTACAGTCTCATGCCTACACTCCCAACCACTGCCAAATTCACCTGGAAATAGGTGGTGAACACCCCAGTGCTGCCAAACTGGTGACCAGAGTACAATACTCAACCCATTGCCAGGATAAAGTAAAACAAGATGCCTTTGAATTATGGTGTTGGCAAAGATGACTGCAGGACAAAGGTACAAATCTGACTTAGAAGTACAGAATGCTCCTTAAAAGTCTCATGTATTTTGACAATGTTATCAAGAAGGACCAGTCTCTGGAGAATGACATAATGTGTGGTAAACATGAAGATCAGTGAAAAACAAAGGAAGATGCTCAAGGAGATGGACTGCAACAAGGTTCTCAAACATATCAATGATTGTGTAGATAGTGCAGAACCAAGTAGCACCTTGCTCTGTTGTTGTATATAGGGTTGATATGAACCATAACCAATCAGATGGCACCTAACAACAACAGTCCTAAAATATCTCTTGAATTTCAGACTTTCATTGCCAACTACCTTCTAGTATCTTTACTTGAATATCTTTATTGTTGTTGTTAGGAGCCGTTGAGTTGGTGCCAACTCATTCAGACCCTGTGCATTATAGAACGAAGCACTGCCTGGTCCTGCACTATCCTCACAATTGTTATGTTTCAGCACATTGTTGCTGCCATTGTGTCAATCCATGTCATTGGGAGCCTTTTTCTTTTTTGCTGGCCCTCTAGTTTTCCAGGCATGATGTCCTTTTTCAGGGACATTTCCCCCTAACCACACATCTAATGTATGAGAGATCATGCTTTGCCATTCTTACTTCTAAGCAGTATTCTGGCAAAACTTCTCCCAACTGAGAATTGTTTGATTTGTTCTGGCAGTCCTTGGTACTTTCTATATCCTTCACCATCACCATAATTTAAATGCATCGACCCTTCTATTGTTTTTGTTGTTGTTGTTAAGTGCTGTTGAGTTGGTTCTGACTCATAGCATAGAGTTTCCAAGGAGTGTCTGATGAGTTTGAATCATTGACTTTACGATTCCATCTGGTCTTGCAGTCCAGTGCATTAACCCGCAGTGCCAAGAAATCCTTATTCATTGCCCAACTTCCACATGCATAGGAGGCTATTGAAAATACCATGGTTGGATCAAGAACACCTTAGTCC